GGGGTCGTATTTTTCAGGAAATGTTCACTACGCGATGGCGTGTCCTGCTCTTGACTCCTGTAGTTTTGATCCCTCGTAGAAGAACCAGGTAAAAGCATACCTACTCAAGATTTGGGGACAAAGCCTAATCTCTATGATATCTTGAAAAATGAAAGGGATGAAGGGCAACTTCGAAAAACGAAATCCACATAATCACGCACAACCCATCCACCCTCACCTGTTGGAATCCGTGATTAGCTTTTCGAGATCAACATTACAACTCATCACAGCATTCGGATGCTTCATAGAGACCTATAATGAGGTTGAATTTGTCTCGACAATATTAATTCCTGCAGTTACAAAATGGTGAAGTTTCAAAAAGTATGAGTCAAAACAAAGGTATTGAATTAATGGTTTGTGTACCTTGTTGAGAGTGCGAACAGCAGCAAAACGTAGAGCTGCTTTCGGAGAAGAACAAAACAGTTGCAGCACAGAGATTGCAGGAGCGAGCTCAGCTCTGAAAGCAAAATGGGAAATCTCGCGTGACAACTTAAAAGACCACAAAGCCCACTCATCACGAAGATAAACGAAGCAAAACAAGGCATTACACTTGCACACTGACTGTGCTGAGCTTTCTGAAACTTGCCTCCCTAAAGATGATCTAGTTAGAAGCACTCACGGTGTGGTATTCGGGAAGGGCAACGATTGCACTAGCTGCTTCGTACACTACCATTTCGCTCTTGTGACGTAGACAGGCTTCGATGAAGGAGAAAATCGAGGAGTCCGCTCTGCAACATTCAAAGCATACAGCTTTAATCCTATCGAACGTATTGTTGAGGAACTCGAATTATGGACGAAAGACTCAGGGAAAAGATTTGGTGCCCTGACATTAGTTGAGCACTCATTGTCAACCTTTATCCATTACGATTTTTCAATCTTTTCTTACTATTTTCATTGTTATTTTTTGAATCTTCACTATTTATTCTGATTTTCTTCAAAATTAGTTCATAAAAATAGATACATTTTTCCTATATGGGGTCAGCACTTCTAGCAGCTGCCATAGGTCTGTGAACACCTGGGATTGCCTTGACTAAAGGCTCACCCGCGCAATTTCAGGGTTTCATAGGAGTACACAGGTCTTAACAAAGAAAGACGTGCTAGTTACTATGTACAAATAAAAGGAACTAGCGATCATTTTAGCGACGATGGACCAAACGTCCTCTTCCTCTTCTCCTATACGCCCAAATTGCTATAATTGATGGTCAAGATTGATAAAGTTCAACTTACTGATCATCTTCCTCAACAAGTTTTGCCGCGATACGGATAAGATAACAGACTGCATGTGGTGACCTGAAATGAAAAATTTACATACATATAATACCAGCTTCACTACTGTGCCAAAAAATCAACCATGTTACCTAAGCCCAGTTTTGCTGAACTTCTGCACCAATTTGTTTACAGCTAGTCTATCATTGCTTCGGATGTGGTACAGTAGGCCAAGGGCGTGGTACTGCACCATTTGGTTGTCCGAGGAGACCGCTTCTTGTACTTCATTTGCCCAACGTCGGACAACCTGAACTAAGCATTCCATATCACACAGTACAGCCATTCCCCTGACAGACGAGACTGCGTCGAGCTAAGAGTAGGCGACTTGCCCCTTCTCGACCCCATCCCAGGATAGCTTCGATACTTCGTAGTCTAGGAAAGTAGTGAAAGGCAGAAGTTTCAAAGTTTATATCTCATCTGAGCATTTCGCCTCCGAATGTCTGACGTCCTGTCCGACTCTCCTTTAACCTAGCTCAACTTATCAGCGCTATAGCGGAACCTACCATTACGGAAAACGCTGCCAGTGTTTTTGTCCATTATTTCAAAAATCATTCGAAAATGACTATAGAACTTCACCTCAGCGGGCTCTTCTTTCATCAAATTGTTTCGATGATACAAGGTGCTGGGCGGACGATACAGGGCGCCATTGCGGACGATAGCGCTGAAATGAATCAACAGTGAGTACAGAGAACTCTAATTCCAGTGGTGATGAGTGAGGCAAATTTTTGAAACCTCGAGTTCATCATAAGTTACACTACTGCTTTGTAAGAGCGTGTTTATACTTCGCGATCTAGTCGCACGAGCGAAATGCTTACGCGATCGGACCGCGTAGTATCCTCTAACATTAGTTACAGCATAGCAAACTCATATTACTCGAGCAGATGCTGGAAATCAAACCCAGCCACAGGAAAATCTTGAGCTATACTGGTAAGCGGGCTCTACCTGCCGTCTGCTAGTCCCCCTCCTCCCCCCAATCTGCTTAAAAATGACGTTACCTGTTTCATGTACCGCTCGATAGTCTGCAGCATTCCAGTGTCTGTAATTCTGCACAGAGCTCGAATAGCTGCCGCACGGTATACATCTTCACGTCCGGTCATATCCTGAAATGAGCTAGCTCATCCTCAGCTCTCGAGCAGGTTTCAACTTGGAATGACGTAGACGAAAAAAAAAATGAAAATTCGGAAACAAAATGTAGCAAGCTACCTTGGTGAGACTACTGGTGACAATAATGACATCATCAGCTATGCCGGAAAGATCTTTCACAGCCAGGTAAACGAGACGGCGCAAAGTTTGCATCTTTACTCTGCCACAACTTCGTCACAGCGAAGAACGCCTCTGTAGCTTCGGTGCGCCCAATAGTTTCACCTTAATATTGCGCTAATGAAACAACAAAAAATAGTTTTGCGGAAGCAAGCCAGAACTGCAACATACCCTGCTGAATCAGGTACAAGAGTTTCGTGAGAATAATGCTGCATTTCCTCGCGTTTATCGGTGTCTCGTTGAAAGCACGAGCCTATAAATAGCAACAAGTTAGGAAACATATTAAAAGAAGCATAGATTGGTGAGAAAAAGTCACAAGTCGATAACTCTAGGATAAGTACAGAGCTCTTCGACTGTTTTAGGTGGGGGGGGGGGGAGAGGTGGTAAGCCTCAAAACTTGGGATATGCAAAAAGTGATGCGAGTGAATTTTGGTGCACTTCGTCTTGGTGGGAGCATTTTGATGGTTCCCGTCGGTTCAATTACCTTGAGAAGATTTTACGGGTTCCACCAAGATGGGACGTATAAGGTAGCAGGACCTACAAAATGCCCGTTTCAAGCGAGACAACGCCTTATAATTTATATTTGATTAAGAAAAAGGAACGGTATTCGTGCTATTACAAGTGCCGAGCTGAAGTCAGAACCTGCTCAAACCGGACCGTCCGCAGAAAGGAAAGCATCCGTATGGTTTTGTACCCGAGAGGATCAGAGACATTCTGACTGATAACCCCCTTCACCACTTGGGCGGAGTCAGTCACTCTTTCCAACTTTTATCCGATTCCCCGACTTTCCTAATCTCTAAATGTTTGTTTTCCTTTTCGCGAATGCTGAGATTCCTCAGGAGCCTAGTTATCAGTGCGGTCCTTTGGTTCCACTGGGAACAATTCGGCTTGGAGGGGGATCAGAGTGGCACTCAGCCAGGCTTTTACAAGCCGCCTAGCAAAGGCATGTATATTCCTGTTATAAAAGTGGCTCACTCCTATCATATTGCGGCTTCACAGAAGTTACAGGGCTTTACAAAATGAGAGCTGTCATTTATGATGAACTAACAAAAAGAACTAGCGAAAGTACAAAATGCCTCCTCCAGGCCGAATATTATCGCCGTTCTACCGATTGCAAAGAGATTGCGCTGAAACTAGCTTACCTCCTGAAGAACTGATGTTTTATCAAGATGAGCGAATGGGTTGCCGCTGGATTCTTCGTCTTTCTTGTCCCTCTTCATTGTTCGAGTAGGTAATAGCGATGAAGCAGCTTCAAGCACTAATCAAAGCAATATTTAAGAAAACGGGATCTCACATCACAATACACAACCACACCACGAACCCGTAAAATTGAGCACAAATGGACACATGCGAGAATCACATAGAGATACATCGCCGTGGAATTCTTGGCAATTCAGCGAAAGGCATGTAGACTAATGGGGAAGGACGCAACACAAAAAGGCGCTACGAGTAAAGTCCTATATTCACGTAGCTATGAGACGATAAATCCACATTTGAAAGCTGCTATCATACTTTGCGACGCGGCATTTTGGGAGAATTAGCCTGATGAGTGAATCCCGTCTAGCAAAAGTGATACTGTAAGTGTCGATTAGAAAACGCTGATCCCGCCGAAACCCCAGATGGATACCTATAATCTCATTTCCGTTCAAAAGGCCGACTCGTTCGATTCTCCCAAAATGCCGAGCTCCAAAGTATGAACGAAATTGGTCGGTAATGCGGTATAGTATGCCCCATGACCAGTAACCAGTCACCTTATCATTATAGGTAACCCAAAAAGTTGCACTGTGTCCGAGTCATTGCCATTTAAAGTCGTCATGCCTCCAAACAAGCATCTCCCCGCTCAACAGCTTTTTGGAGAGGAAAAAACTGCGGAAAGATGGTAGGAAAAGATTGTAGAAAATTCGAAGATGGTAAGGCAAGATAGGGCAGACAGGTCGTATCCAAGAGAAGCAATTTCGAGACGGTTTGGTGGTCGTATTATGCTTTGTTCCGGAACAGATTCTTAGCGTTTTGGGTGTTTAACTTTAAACGATCATAACTTTCTTAACACTCATCGGATTTAATCCAAATAAGCACCATTCGAATCAGCACACTTTTGCCAATGTGGCAGCAGTCGAGAAATCCATCAAAGAAAAAACTGGCACTGTGGGTCGAGAATCCACGAAATCTGCGAAGGTCTTTTTTGCCTGGTCCTGTTTGATGAAGTATTTCTCAGCAGGAAAGTTCTGAAAATGTCTGAAAAGGTGACAGTCGGTTGGTGAAAGGTCTAGAGAATATGGTGGGTGAGGTAGAACTTCAACTCCCAATTCGTTCAATTTATGGATAGTGATTTGTGAAACGTGTGGGCGGGCGTTGTCATGCAAAAGAATCGGACCCTTTCTTTTGATAAGTGTTGGCTGCAGCTGACAATATTTTCGGTACATTTTTGGATCGTTGTTCACAGTTAGGTCTGCCTGATGATGTTTGGCGCGCCTGGTGATTAAAAATTATTAGTGGATTTACAACAGCCGGTATGACCACCAAACTTTGAGACCAGAATTTGTGTTCTTTCGCGGGGTTCGGCTTTGGAAAATTACTCGGCTGGTTCCTCGCAAATTAACACTGTCCGGAACGTCTCCTGTTATCATACATGATCCATTTTTCATCACAGGTGACAAATCCGTTCAAAAACGGGTCAATTCTTTTGCGCAAAAGCAGTGAAGCGAGAAACCTCGACTTGCGGTTTTCTGCGGTCACTGCAATTGTGGTGCACACCCACATTATCGAGTTTTTTTCCTTCACATGCGTTCAAAAGTTTTTTTCCCTTTCCAATGCGTTTTTCCAAACAATCTGCAACACTGGATTTGCCAAGGCCTAGCTCTTCTGCTATCTCTCGAACTGTTTGGGATGGGTCAGCCTCCAAAATCCCCCTAAAATCCTCGTCAGATATTGCTTTAGGTCGACCGCTATGAGGTTCACCTTCAAGGCTGAAATTTCCAGAACGACATTTGTTCGAGCACAGTGCTATTCTTCAGCACTATTGGGCCTCCACACCTGGTTAATTTGTTGAGCTGTTTCGATTGCGGATTGCCCCAATTTATAGCCGAAGAAAAAAATCGTCCGAAGTGCTCTTTTCACATGCTTGAAAAAATCTTGAAAAAAGAGGGTTTATCAAGCAATGGTGAAACGGCAATTATACCATCAGATAGCGCAAGAAATTTCTCTACAGGATGTGTATGAGAGCATGCAGCATGAGTTTTTTAAGATCAGCATGGTGAATGGTACAAAGATTAGGCTGCACAAAACGCTAAGAACTTTCCGGACAACCTAATATTTAAAAAAAAATTCGTCAAAACCGGAAAGGACACTAGTTCCTATCGATTGACTTCACCTACGTGGAAAATCGTGCAATCAACTATCGTAACTGATATTTTTTGAATTCTTCGATTTACAATGTATTCGGTTCATCAGTGTCATATTTCGGCAGCATCATAAAATAATTATAGGCCTATAAAAGGGAAATATGATAGAAACATTTTCAAAATGGCGAACTGCGCCAAAGTTGCTATTGCCGGTAAACGGCTGAGACCGCTAGAACCACGTCAGCAGCTGACAAAGCAGCCTAATGCTCACGTGGCAAGGTTGAGCCGGTTCGCAAGCGCACGTTCGCCAAACGTTGATTCCTCACAGGTTGTCCATCTGTGCCCGTGTGATGAAAGAAAACAAAAAAAAAAATACAAAAAACAATAAAAAAAAAAAAAAAAAAAAATGAAAAACAAATAATAGGCAGTAAATAGCAGTAAGCAAAAGACAAAACCAAAAAGCGCCGAAACTCATTTTATACATCTCACGAAAAACTAAGACTATTCCAAGAGATACGTGCAGGATTAACACCAAAAAACAACCTCCACCGTGTGTTCTTATCCGCTGGCATCCTGCTAACAGTCAATACACTATTACAGTAATGCTACAAGGAATGGAAAACCTCGAAACGAGCTGCAATAAATGGCAAGGATGCTTAGAGTAAAATAGCATCGATTCAACGCTAGCAGAAAAATTTACACTATTTAGCGGAATAAACAGCAAGATTCCCGTAAAGTAAGGCGACGTGACCCTCAATGCTCTGTCCTGCTATAAGATGGGGGTGTCAACGAAGGCGAGCTACTCCAGTTACCATTGACATTTTTGGTGTGTTAAGCACGCGAGGCATTTGAGCATACAATAAGCTATTTATTTTGTTACAAAAAAATCACGGAAGTTCCTGACTGTCCACTTACCTAGGAAAAGGAGCACAGGGATAGATTTTCTTAGAAGTGCACGTTGTACGTTAAGGATCCTCAACGAAAGGATCGCATTTGGTCGCTGAGGAGGGGTGGGGTTCTCCTGGTCACTGAAGGAGGGTGGGGGTACTTGCCTCAGTGAAAAATGTTTACGGTTGCTGACTTCCCTCGGATTTTCCTTTCTCCAACGCACTATACGCATCCAGCTCGGCGGCAGTTTTTTTTTGGGGGAAAAGTGAAGTATATTTGAAAAAAAACTCCAGAAAACGCTGAAAAGTGGTAGGGGAGAGGTCGCCACAGGCTGAAATCTTGATATAGAGCCGTGTTCTGCAAAATTTCTGGCGCAATTTGGTTGGGGGAGGGGGGCATCTAGCATTTTCGCTACTTCCCATTGCCAGGTCTATCGCATTACAGGAATTGGTAGATGTTTCTCACAGGATTTGACAAGTGGTCTCCACAAACATTAACTAGTCTCTTCATGGCTTCACAAGATTTCACAGACATCTACTGGTGGGTTGACACGTCGATGGAAAGTAGCAAGTGTGCAAAATGCTCTTCTCCCTCTCCAAGACAGAATTTTCTCAAACGACAGGATGTGGCCTGTTTTTTTTTCATAAATTTACAGTCAAAAAAATGTGGGCAGTGGCTCTAATGCCTTGGGTGCTGTATCCGCAATTGTCCCGCTACACTGGAACAGCGCCAAGCGAGATCTAAAGCGTTAGCATCCAAGCAAGGGAGTTGATATAAACCACTGTTCCTCAAGAAGAAGCTAGTTTATAATCTCTCAGGAGATCCCATGTTGCCTCTGTTCTTACTTTACGAGCAAGGCACGTCGTTCGCTGAGAATCCTCAACTCCCAATGTGGGGGGGGGGTCAATTTTCGTCGCGGCAGAAGGAGGTCGTATTTGCCTTCCAGTAAATTCCATTCTATTCCCAACACTCCTCAGTTTTTCCCTTTCAAGTGCGCATTCAACGGCAACTCTCTGGACAAAAAGTGAGGATATTTGAAGAGAAAATGCGGAAAAGTTGTGGCGGAACCGCATCAGAGGAGGGATTCTAAAGGTAGGAGGGGAGTCGCAATTTGAAAGCAGTTCTTCAAAAAATCAAGAATCGTACTTGCCTTCGAAGAAAAATGTCTTCCATTCTTGACTTTTTCGGTTTTTCCTGTTTCGCTGGTGGCGGTGTATATCCCCCTGATCGACAGCAGTTTTTCTGAGGGGGAGGGACTGGAAATACTTTCGGAAAATTAGTTGAAAGCTGGGAAGATTCACGAGGTCTCAACTAAGATGGAGAAGGGAGGGGGGTCGCAACGGAGGAGTAAAACTTCGAGGGAGCGTCGCACTTTGCAAAATTTTCGCCAAACTTTCATGCGGATGATGCAAGACGGATAAGATATATCCTATCCTAAGCAGAGTTTCTAGAAAATCTCTATCTATGGGAGCGATTCTTTGAATAAGACAGATCTTAAAAACACTCCTGCCTAACCTAAATGTGAAAACCCAACTTTTTTTACTAACGTAAGCACCTAACAGCAACAAAAGCTTATTCTGGCCTGGAAATTGGTCTACAGTATTAGAAAATGAGGCATACTGATCAAATTTCCTGGAATGGATAGCTCGTAAGATCTCGAAGAACAGTGGCATGGAAAATTGAGCCTTGAAAAGCAAACAAACAAAACATGCGTGGCTACAAAGGCTAAAAATGGAGGCTTACACCTTGAACTCATTGTCGGAGAGCGATAGACGTGCCCTTAACAAGGCTAACTCTGGGAAGAGTTCCCGAATTCTGGAAAGGTCATGTTCATCGATTCAGCGACACGTGTTGCAAAACGAGATTGCACGCGACGCAACTAATGCCTGCTGTTTAGCGCACTTTGAAATGACGTGTTTCAAAACAGCTTTGAAGCGGGGCGCTGGACTGTCTTCCCGAGCACCTAATTGATTAGCGAAACTTCCAGGCTCATCGAGAATGTGTGTCTACTAAATAAAAATATAAGTTCAAGCAATCCCTTTCTCACACAACTCTTTACACTATCCACGTAAAATAGAGGACAACTCGTCCAGTCATGTGGAAGAACGTGAAATTGTACGCGTTTTTGCGGAACGCTCTTCGCTCTGTAGAAGATCGTGAGGGTCTCGAGATATCTGTCAACCACTTCGGCCTCAGGGCACTTGTCAACCGGGAAGCCTCTCCTCTCTTTCATTTTTCTTTCTCCTTCCTTCTTTTCCTTCCTTCCTTCTCTGATCCCTCCTCCTTTACCTTCTCCCTCCAACTACTGGACTGGTATTCGTGAAAATACCCCTGGACCCTCGCAGCGAGAGCACGTCTGGTTGGCAACTCTCCTCGCTGTTTTCTTCCTCCTTTTGTGCTTTTCACCTCGATCCTACTTGTAACCTGCTTAACTTATTGATATCATAAAATTTTGAGATTTTCGTCCTTCGAGGATTCGAGGTTGCGTACTTATTGATATTAACGAATTTTCCAGCTTTGATTTTTCTGAAGTATTTCACACATTGCTTTGTCGTGCGAATATTGTAATGTGGATCCGCAATTTTCATGACTTATCGATATCGGAGAATTTTCAAGTTCTCGTACTTCAGGGATTCGACCTCATTCTCGGCACTTCACGCTGTGGAGATGCTTAGAACCACTCCTCTGGTAGTGATTCGTCGGTTTAGTTCGAATTCTGATAAGAATAATCTAAAGTAAGAGTCTAAAGCCATTGAAGAGCAGCTTTATACTCATGCATCTTTTCTGCTTCTATTATGGAGGCCATTTTCAGAAAAATCGTAGTTTGCCGTAACGGCAGCGTTGCTGCTTGGCATCCAGAAACGCCATTCCCGTACGAGCATTCGAGACCCGTTGTGTTAGAGGAAGCAAAGAAGGAGGAGGTGAACATACTGGTTTTATTGATTCTAACATATGAGGCGACGATGGTGTAGTGGCAAGTGTCACTATTACCACGCACGCAATTCATAATTGGGATGCTCGATCCGAGTTTCAAGCCTCGGATCGAGCATCCCAATTATGAATTGATCAGCGGCAGGTACCTCGTCCTTTAGCCACATATAAGTTAATATTTGCGAGCTCTTACATAAGGCTGCTGAGAGAGGGGGACGTCTGCTTTTTCGCGCAAGTAATTCACAGACGCAAAATTCGCACCAGGGTAGCATTATTCCTGAGCGGTTTGAGGTTGCTTTGAGGGTCGACCCCGGGTCAGCTCTACTACAGACCAGTCAGGCCCTCTACTCTCCTGGTTAGTGAATTAGTACTACCCTCGTATGGGAGGATCAAAAACACTAACTTTTACATATCTCGGCTGCTCCCTCCCCTACTTCGAAACATTTTGTGTCCTCTACCGGCCTTATTGCCTTAATTTGCACGTTTTCAGTCTCCATTGTCAAGAGCAGTGAATCGCACGAGCAGGTGGAAAGACGGTCCTGTAGTGGCCCAGCTTCAAAGATATTTTCTACACGACTAAGCACGAGTGGTATACCAGGTGAGTCTTTCAGCAATACGCGTGCTCAAGGCAATGGAGGGTTGCTGTACAGTGGTCTTTTTTCCTCGCTCTTGAGCCTTTTTTTACACTGTTTGGTTGGGGGCAGTTACTTGCGCCACTGCAACCTTCTTATCGGTGAGCTTCTAATTCTGTGCTGGAAAAATAGGATGCTCACCAACGAGAACGGTGCTCTGGTCACGGTGCTTACACATATTCTACAAGCGTGTAATGTGCCTTTAAGTCCGGATATCTGCCCTCGAAGTAGGATCTCATCGGTAGATGCGGCAGCGTATAAATGCCTCTGAAAATCATTCTACTGAATGCTTGAATGGTCTCGTAGTCAAAATTGATTCATTTTTGACAGCAGTAATAATTGAAATGTTTGTTTTTTGACATACGTTTCTGAGGTGCCC